CCAATCAGGTTTCACCTCTTCGTCTGCATAGTTTCCTGCTTGGATCAGTAAGCCTCATTGTGTCACTTGCAAGCAAAATTGTATGACCTCTGCGGCAAAGTACTTCGAAATTACCACCCATCCCACCCTTCAAGGATTTTGCACCCCTATATCACAACTCGTATCAAAAAATAAATAAAAATCTGTAAATATTGTCGTGATATGAAATCCGTCATCAAGATTCACATGAAATGCAATTCATGTAGTGTTATAGATAAAGTATTATGGAGTAGTTACTGGTCAATATGTTATTACAGGCACATCTATATTTTGTAATATACAGTATTGGAATTGCATGACTTTGCAAGTCTGGTTGTAAAAATAAAAATATTTGGTTGTTTGGGGATGGAGTGCTCCCAAAGGTCACCGTCAACCCCATAGACTCGCACAAATCAATGTACTATACAGTGTATTGTAAAGTAAACAATGACATCACGGGGATCTACTACCCCTTGGACATTAAAGTAAACAATGACCATCACGGGGATCTACTACCCCTTGGACATTTAAGATGGCCATCTCGGGGATCTTCTACCCCTTGGGTAAAGTCCAACATGGGGGAACCACGACCCCCTGAGGACATATAATTATATCTAAATCATATTGCTGTAATAGTGAGTCTGTGGGGTGACACTTTGGTCACAGTTTAAAGAATAATCGGAGCATTTCTCCTCGACAATCCTTCTCCCACAACATTGTGTGTGTCATAGTTGTTTTCTTAACTGTCTTAGAATATTTGCTTAACGAATTGGTGCATTAACTGCAGTTAACGCTAACTACATTTTTATACAACCGACCCAACTATATGTGGTTAAAGTTAACCACTATTTAATGTAACTATAAAACGGACAGTTAAACCCTGTACGTTAACCTTTATTATTCTGTTTTTATTAGGGTGTTCAAGCCCAGACTGTTGCAAATTTCTTTCAAGCATTTGACGCGAATTTAACGATAATTCCTGTTATCAACAAGGTACAGCTTAGACATTTTTAACCTTTAAAGCTGTATAACAGTAGCCCAAATTATGTGGCGTGAAATCTAGCTCTAGGTTTTGGAAAAAAATCAATGTAACGAATAGCCTGGTAAGATCTGCATGATCATAAACTAAGCTATTATTGCGTACACAAGATATACATTATACAATAAAAGCAGAAAGAACAAATGAAATCTTTAGAGATACTATACAAGAGAGCACATGTTCAGAGAACTAGAAAATGTAGACTGGCAAAAGATAATGGTTTGTGGGCAATCGCCCGATAATCTGATCAAAGTATATCGTGAAATGATATGGCCAATGAAATGATGAAGTAGATATGGCCGAGATTTGATATTAGTTTCCCCCTCATAAAAGTTCGAACCGCGTCGCGTGATCCAGCGTTCATGTCTCTGCTCGTAAAACATCTGTTGCAAAAAAGGAAGAAAGCTATGACAACAAGTGATGAAGAATCTATTTTTCGCCTACAAAATCAAATCAACACACTAATTCGCGCAAACCAACTGAATGCAGTCCAATGTGGAACAACGTGAATAATATAACTGGAAGGAAAAGTAGCTCTCTTATTAAACAAGATGAAATACATGCCTACTTTCAAAATATCACCGTTTCCAATTACTCAGCTCCCTCACTACTTGAAATTCCTCAAGGAACATGAATCCCTTTCCTTTCTACCAGTATGATTCACAATTTCTTAAGAAAACAGAAACGTTCATCATCTTGCCCTGATTATTTACCGCATTGGTTTTGGAAAACGTATACAGCTGAGTTGACCCTATAACATAGTCGTTTTGAAATAAAACAATATAATTATTTAAATGATTAATGTGAATGTACAAAGCACTACCCTAGATTCGTCCACGCACTTACAACATGCCACGAGTTTACTGTCCCGTGATTCGATCATGTGACCTGTACGTCACAATATATGTCCCTCCTTTCCTTTTAGAAAGAACTTACATTCATAACTAAGAACTAAACAAATCAAGAACTTTACGTTTGTATAGGTTTATATATGTCCGTGAACTATTATAAAACTCTGAACTTGTTCTGTTCCGAGTTGGATATCTGCGCGGCAGTTCCGTATTAGGCAAGTCACCATTAAAATCCTGGATAATTTGATCTTGTGGTTCCATGCAGGTTTGGATTCGGGATTTGTTTAAATACTGAAGCATTTCTGGTAATGTTACCGTTATCTTCACTAGTCGCAGTGACCATTGTTCCTTTTACTTCTGTTACTCTTTAGCCGTTTTACCAAATGGTGTAGATGGCTTATTTTTTCTTTTGCTGTCGGAATAAAACATAATCTCCTCGCATGATTCCGTTTATCCGCATATTGCTTTATCATCTCCTTTCTCTTGGAGTCATTGCTGATAGCTTTTTCATGGTTATCTTCGTTGTCTGAGGGTATGATGTCTAACCGGTCCACACTTGGCAGTTTATTCAGAATTTTCCGATTTAATAAAAGCTCTACTGGGCTGATACCAATTGTGCAACGCGGCGTTGACCTGTAATTCAATCTATTTTATACTTCTATTATACGTTTTATACTCTTAACATAATCTTATTTCTTGTAATGTACATAACAATTTAGCTTTTAATTGCTATTATATTTGTGCAAATTTTCTAATAATAATAATAATAATAATAATAATAATAATAATAGTAATAGTAATAATAATAATAATAATAATAATAATAATAATAATAATAAATCAGTTCAATTGCTTGATCACGAATCATGACTTTTTATATGCGTGCCCTTATAAATTCGCCATACTGAATTTGACTAGGAGTGAGAATTAATACAAAGTACAGTATATAAACAGAGCTAAGACTATGTTTTCATCGCCGAAAAGTTTTGTCTTGCTATCTAATTTGCAGTTTGAGGATACATTTTGAAAGTATTAAGTTCTTTGAAAGTTCTTTTTAAGGGTTGCAAACTTGGTTTCCAAGTACAAAATTTTATATATCAGAACCAAAGCTTGGGCTAACCCCAATTTTAAAGTGGGTTTTCAAAATTTGAATCCTGAGCCAAGGTCTGACCACTCGGAGAATCATTATCAGAATGATGAAATCCGTGATTCCACTTATAGACAGTCATTCAATGATTTGATACAGCAAAATAACGACATCTTTAATGTGGATGGTGATCTATTAGGTTCTGTTAATTTAGTCGAACATGAAATACCTCTACAGCAAAACAGTCTCGCTAAGACCAGGACGACTTGCCCCTATATTGAACAGCCGGAAGTTCTCTAGTGAATTTTATGCTCTTTTTTTCTTTCATATTGATGGCAAAATATGAAAATAAAAAAATCCTTCCATGCAGTTTGTCTTGATTTTATCACGCTATATATTGAATCTAAATAAAATACTATTGAACATCATCGCTACATATTTTCACGTTTTCTGCCCAGAAAATTCAAGAAAGAGCCGTCGTTTTCATAGCAGTCTCGTTTCTAGTGTTCGGTGTAGGGACAAAATTTAAAAATATACGCAAAAGTCGTTATGAATTGAAATAAACAACAAGGAAAAGGCGTCCTAAACTTGGCAGTGATTTGTGGTTTCAACAAGTAGGCCAGGTTTCGCTTGTTTTCCCGCTTTTCCCCCCGTTTCCTAGGATATGGGGCCCCGCGAATTATGAGTAAAGTCTATACACGTTCGGAGTGGATTTTATTAAATTTTACTCATATTTAACCATTCAGCGCCTTCTTCGGTATCCATATAATGCATACCCCTCTCTATATCAAGCCCCCATCCCAAAAATATCCGTCTCCACTCGAACGTGTCTGGGCATTCTATAATCCCTCCTGTGCGTTATAGAGGATTTACGATTTATATTATTTGTTTGTGACTAGGTAAGTATTATTTAATTATTAAATATTTACATTGAATTCCTTGCCTATAGATTGACACAGCATCTGCCAAACCCGATGAAGTTTTGAAGCAAATGGAAAGTGTTTTTGGTGTGAAGAAAGATGACATTATACTGGTACGAAGGGAATGCCGAGGCATGTTCCCAAAATTTACAAACAAAACATTTCAATAGGATCAATTTCGTTGCCAGTGTTATTAGCTTATTCGCCTTTATATAGAGTGTGTCAAGCGAGTTAATCGAAAATTTTACACTGAACTAAAATTCGGACTTTTAGATGTCCAACTTTTTCATTCTATCATTATCAAGGCAAAAATGGCCAAATACGAATCCAATAAAAATTGACAGTCGGAAATTGCATTTTATTGACTATAACAGCAAAAATGGTTCAACTGACCAAAGAGCAAAGACTTTTTATTGCTAAATTATACGCTCAAAGTACTTAATATACTCGTTTTAAAATAATTCATAAACCTTGTGGCAAATTATGTCAGCCATAATATGTCACGTGGGGTGACTATATCTGACAAAACTCATCTTCATTAGTATTCTTTATATAATTGTTCATCCTAATTGGTATGATTATATAATTGTTCATCCTAATTAGTATTCTTTTGTAGTCGTATTTTTAAGCATTTAAAAAATTCGTTGTCGTGTTTTATCAGATATAAAACGCTCGATTGCGCCTCGCGTTTTATATCTGATAAAACACTCCTACGCGTGCTTTAAATAGTACATAAATTATTAACGCAATCAAAACACATGCTGAACACACGAATGCGTAATTAACACAACTGAAAGGTGTACCTTTTGAAATCAAGCCTTGTTGTAATTTGAATGCCTTATTACTATGCTGAACCCACGGGTGCGTAAACACAATTGAATCGAATTTTATGCGTGTACTTTGAGTTAATATGTTCTTTGAGCGTATAATTTAACGCAATAAAAACTCTTTGCTCTGTGGTAAGTTGAACCATTTTTGCTCGAGCTGACGGTGTGACTGATTAGCAATTGACCTTTTTTGTGCAGTCACACATAACATTAGAAGCTGTTTTAAATTTCCAAGATGGCGGCGCAAAATGAATTGCTGGCCGAGGCAATTTTGCGCCGCCATCTTGGATGTTTACTTTCGTATACTACGCATGCGCTGTTAAGACAATCCGTAAGCAAAAGGCTTTCGTTCGCCGCTCACGGAAAGATTTTGGCACGCGAGGCAGAAATTATCAAACATGTTTGATATTTGGCGTAAGTGGCACGAATGACAAAAGTTGTTCGTAAATCGCCCGCACACGAGAGCTATCTCCTTATGCCAATGGGCACGAATGAAATTTGGCTAAGCACATAGCTCCAGTGTGCGCCGGCCTTAATCCAGCCCCCCTCTCCGACAATCTGACGTCTGTGTTGACAAAAATTTTCCTTGCTTAAGCTTCCTTCTGTTTGTCGGCAACACTGTTTTTGGGTTCCTGCGCCATATAACACCCGTTTATCAAACGTTTTACCTGACATAAAGTGATATTAAAGGATATGGCAATAAAAATTAACTTTGCCTTATTTGAAAGAACCCTTAAAGTTATATATGCTTGGTTTTCGAAATATTTTGACCTAAGTGTTTGATGACGTCACAAGCAGGGTAAAGTTGTTAATTAAAAATTCTTCATGTGGGGCTAAATTTCTTCGAAAAGTTTCTTAAAATGTTGTGAGTTAATTGAGTACTAAAAAGACTTCGGAAAATCGAGTTTCATATTGATAATGACATGTAGTTGGCAAGATAAAAATTTCGCTTTTTACCCTACTTGTGACGTATGCATATCGAATGCATATCCAAGATGGCTGAATGCACGCTGCTTTTGATCAAATAAGTCGATTTATTTCCAAAACCAAGCAAGATATGGAGTAATTATAATCATTTTAAATGCTCTTTTAAATAAGCCAACTTAATTTATATTGCCATGTCCCTTTAAATAAAATGAATTAATTTTTCATTGTGTTGAACTCCAAATAAAAGGATTACACAACATATTCTAGAATTTGAAAGTTAATAATTCTGCGGTTAAAATTTTATCCCTTTTACTTATTTTGCCTTTTTGTTAAATTTAAGAGTTTTGGAGTTTACAAAATTAAAAATATGGTTTTCATGTGACAGTAGCAACTATGCCGTTGTTAGAGCTCGGGTTCATCTTGAAGCAACATTGTGAAATCAGGAATCACAGTCGCTCTGTTAAGAAAGGGCGAGGGGTCGGTATATGTATTTCTTGAAATGCGCCCTGTAACAATGCGTTTTCCCCCTTTTCTTGCAGTAAATTTCAGTACACAGTGGTTGTTTTCGTAACAATAACAGTAATATCAGGCTTAGTTATACTTGCTTGGTTAATCAGCTGTTCTTCAAAGACAGTGCATTTGATAACATAGCTTATAAATTGGAACTTTTAGGTTTCAGCAAAAGAAGGATGGGGCGTGGAACAGCTGCTTGAGACTGTTATCAAACGAATTCCCAGGTATGTTTGGAAGATTAAGTGCGTTCCTGTCAATGTTAGATTTGTATTTCTCTGCAATAACATTCTTGTTGATGGTGATTTCTCATTTTAAAAATTTTAATTTCCTTTTAAGACCACCAAACGATTTGAAATCTCCATTAAAATGTTTGGTTTTTGATTCATGGTACGACCGTTATAGAGGAATCATTTGCCTCGTCGCTGTTGTACAGGGAAGAATTAAGAAAGGTTAGTTCTGCATAATGACATATACTTTTCGTATGTGTCATTCATAACACAGCTTTTATACAAACAACGTGCAAATTCAGTTTGCAGTATTTAGGCTGCTATACATGTCTAACACTGTCGCATCTCGCGAGCCGTGACAAATCGTGACGACTTGTGAAATGCCAACCCGTCACGACATGTAAAATCATGTGAAAAATGTTTTTGCCAAATATTTAGCCAAAAGGAGAGCGATATTTGCCTGAATATCACAATAAGTTGGACTTCCATTAAATTTTGTAATTCCTGCACTGGTCATGCTCTTTAACTTTGATTTGATTAATTTATTTGATTAATTGGTTTAATAAACCGTTTGGCAGTAACCTTATACAATTGGAATATGACCTATAATTAATATTACGTATTACTAATACAATCTCTGTTTTGATTGGCTGCCGGCCTACGGTTAATTCGTGATGTTGTATAATTCTGACGTCACAACTGCAGACAATGGTTGTCTACATGTAGATATGACGCCAGTCAGCTTGTTTACAGTAAACACGAAGAAAGAGTAGCCTAAACATGCCGAATTCTTCAAAGAGATTCGCCACGGTAACTGAGAACGATTTACAAAAGCTATTGGACGAAAAGGCAGCGGTAAACACTAAACGAGCTACGAAGATAGCTGTGAAAGTTTTTACCGAGTATATAATAGAAACAAAGATAAGCGAACCTCAAGACCAAGAGTCAATTACCAAAGTCCTTAAACTATTTTACGCCGAAGTTCGAAAAGAAGAAATTGTACTCACGTTGTTTCTCGCTTTGATTTGTTTATATCACTGTATGAGTAAAACCGTTGACTGTTCTAGACATCAGACGTTATTAAATGTTATTAAAATTGTTTACAAAGAATCGTGTCTGACTTAGGCAAAGAAGCCATTCTTTGCCTTGATTAGTTATAGTATTACTTTCCCTTAGTCATTCTTATGCGTAATAAAATAATTATTGGACTCGATTTTCGCGTGATATCGAGAATTACCAAGCCCTGGGTTTGTATATCCGCTTCAACCTTCGGCTTGGGCTGATAACACAAACCTCAGCCTTGATAATTCTCGATATCACGCTCAACCTCATCCAATAATTATTTAATATTTAAAAGTAATAAAGTTTTTACAACGGTCAGTGTTTGCATAAATCCTAGGAACGTGATCAGATCTTAAATTATAATTATGCTCACTATCAATATTAACTTTTAAGTTTAAAATTTCTTCAAGTGGATTATTGAAAGTTTGTGATCTGATTTTGTATTTTGTTAACAAATTTGCAACAACAATTCGTTCTTCTTATATTCAAATGTTCTAAGTCTGACATCTTCAATGCGTTTTCTTAGGACAAAAAGGGATACATGTACACCAAGTTAGAAAGGCCAACTGTCAACCAACTCATTACTTTACTATTACTGCCTAATAGTGAAAGAAAGCCACAGAGAAATGTTGTAATCCTTATTTCAAATGTTTGTATTGGCTCATTTCAATTGTCAATGACTGCATGTGTTTACTTCCTCGATTGAGGATCTTGTCGTTTCTTTTCCTGGTTGTGTTGGTTGAATTGATGCCTCTGGTTGCGAATTTCACCAGTCGTGAAATGCGACAGTATTGGACAACCATCTAGGCTGTATACAGTTTTTAAATATATTCCTCAGGAGACAACATCATGACGTGTAGTACAAAACGAAAGTTCGAAGTTCTTGACCTTGGAATTCTTCATCCAGACGAAACTTCTACTGGAGAATTGTATGTATAAAATAAGCTACTTTATTTAGATTGTCTTATAAATGTTAACGGGAAAACCACATGCAATACCACAGTTTCTTTGCGCGAAAAATGGAATAGACGTGCATGTGATGAACAATCGACAAGCAATTTGGGCTGTATAACTGAATGACGCGATGAAACAGATGCTCACACTGGAAAAAAGTTTGAAATTCCATAGAAGGTCATAGTATGGAAATTGAATGGATCTTTATTGGAAATAGAATGGATTATATATTTCCATAGTATGGATATAGTAAGGAAATAGTATGGATATACTATGGATTTAGTGGTGCAATTGCAAATTTCGTAGTATGGATTTCACCTTTTTTTCCAGTGTCAAAGAGACACTGCAGTATACACTTCCATTTTCTACCCAGAGGTCTAGATTTTACATGCAGTGGTGAAGTTTGACCTTCACTGAGGAACCTTATAGTTGAACTAGATGTATATAAGAAATTATGGAGCAGTGCAATGTTTTGGATGTAGCTCTATCTTAGTATTTCTACAATATGTTGCTCTAATGCTGTACTTAATATATATTTTCTTTGTTGATATATAGGTATGTAGGTCAGATCGGTTACATCGTAACGGGGATGAAGACCTCTGACAATGCTCAGATTGGTGAAACATTCTGTCATGTTCAACTTCCTGTTTCACCGTTAGAAGGATTCAAGCCAGCAAAACCCATGGTAAAAAATATAAAAAGCTGTGCACAATTTAGGAGAATCTATACGGGAAGTAGGAATCAGTGGTATCATGCGTTGCCAAACTCCGTCATGTTTTGGGCTTTACTTGTTTGACTGACGAAAGAGGAAGCATGCACTTAGAATGCGTGCACTATACAAAGTATAAACAAAGCTAAAACTAAGTTCTCGTCGTCGAAACGTTTTGTCTTGCTGTCTAATTTGCAGTTTAATTAATTTGAGGATAGATTTTGAAATATTCGAAATATTTGATATATTGCAAAAAGGAAGTTTAAGTACTGCATTAGTTGTGCAGTCGCAACACAGAAAAGTAAGTGTGTAAGTTTAGAAAGATTATTGAACTCCATTTAGATCATAACTAAACAGTTAAAATATTTTTAGAACACACCTATTAAGTATCGAGTTTGTCTTGAGCTCTTGTGTTTTGTATATAATAATCCTACAGCTCAGAACAATTGTTATTCGTAAAGAACCACTGGGATGAATTTTTTAAAATGTTTGTTTCACTATTTTTTTCTATTTGAAGTCTTGATATAAAACACATTTTCATGCCGCAGGAGTCTGGGGCGAGTCAGTTGGCCTTTAAATCCCCCCATTTTGTGGAGACAACATTTCTATTGAGAAAAAATATGAGTGCGCATTTTATATCTATATTTTTTATGGACACGGCCTTGACGTGAGCCCTTTACTCAGCTGGCTTTGACATGAGGTTTGGTCAATTTGGGGTTATAGTATGATGTATAAACAGCTTTCATTTCGCATGTGACGCTCTAGTTACCAAATGCTGGCCGAAAATCGACCAAACCTAGCAATGGTGGCCGAGTAAAGGGCCTCGGTCTAGGCTGACAATTGTGTTTTTGCCTGAGCACTAGACAAATGGAAAATGCTCTAAAATACCGATTTTGTGCTACTTTTATACTGGCTGACAATCACGTGGTGTATATGATGACCAACTAATCATCTCATGCATACATATTAAAATTATATGGTATTGTGAGAGAAAACTCCCATTGAGAATATTCACAACTGGTTTGTAAAGAATGCATTTGACTGGCTTATTTTTGTTCCGGGACCAATCAGAGGCTTTGTTTACAAACCGGCTTGTGAATTTTAGTATGAACTTTTGAACTTGACAACGAAGTTCGGAACGAAGTACGCAATATTTAGGAAAAGTTATGTGAAATCAACTGTAACAAATATCAGGATAACGGTTGAGATTAAACTTAGAGGTTAGGTTGGCGGTCGAAATATTAATGCATTTCATGTAATCGTAATTGTACATGTACGACTGCTATGCTGTACGTAGCCGCATGCCCGCATTTATCCAGGGAAAGTGTTTGTTCTTTTTGTGTTATGAAAACAATGTAAACTAGAGGGCACTCAGAGACTGCATACCTCCGCCCGTTACTCGGAAGTGAAACGCAACCTTGGAATTTCCTAAGAAATCCACTTTACAATTCTTAAGCATAAAAGATTTCAGGCCCCCGCGAATTGAAATCGAATTGCTAATAGAACATATTACTGTTGTTGTACTGTACAGGGTGTCCCAAAAAAACCGGAAACTATAGAAATCAC